ATGTAGTTTATCGATGGTTGGAATGTGGGTGGGGGGATGTGGAGAAAGAGAGAGAGAGAGAGAGAGAGAGAGAGAGAGAGAGAGAGAGAGGTTAAATGAAATAATTCTTTTAAAAAAAGGATCATGTCCTGGAGGGTAATACTGAAGGTTTGGTGACTACCAGCTATGGAAAGGAGCAGAAGTGAGAACTAAATATGATATTACAGCTCTCAGCCTGAAAAAGTAGAAGGGAAAATGCCCTTGACATAGATAAAAAAATTTAGGAGAAGACCTTCCTTTGTAGTGTCAGCAAGGCATCCAGGTAAAGATGCTTAGGAGAGGGAATGGGGCAGGCCTGGGGCTTAGCAAAAAGGTTGAAAGCAGGGACGAAGGCTCATGGCTTGTCCCTGTGAAGGAGGAGGTGAGCAGAAGAGGGTCCCCAGGGTGACTATATAGCGAAAAGAAAAGATAGCCATGAATTAAATAAAGAATGGGGCTATGAAATCCACCAAGTGCCCCTAAGAAGTCAGAAATCAGGTCTTGGATGCATTCTGAAAAGAATACTGACATTCATCCCAGCCGAATGTCTGGGATGGAAGTCAAATTGCTATAATTTAAAAAGTCTTCAGTGATGTTTTGGTCTGGCAAAGTTACATTGTACGTTTATTAAAAATCAAAGGAAAATGCTAATTAAAAATAATTATAGAAGACTATCTCTGCTTAGCCTCTCTTAAAAGTAAGTTAATATAAGATCAACTTTTTTTTTTTGGTAAAAAGGTTTTCAAGACAATAACAGAAATATTGCTTTTAGGACTGAGTAATACAGAATATAGACACATTCGGGGGCATGAGATTTCAAAAGAATACATACAAATTTAAAAGCAACAAAGGGTACTTACAGTATGAGAGAATCGTTTGATTCTGCTGACATAATGTTTGCCTTGATCACTTGCATGGCTAATGCCAAATTCAAATATTCCAGGTACTTTTAAACCAAAACCGAAACTAAACTCGCTAGTTGATTTCTCCATGACAGTGCGTTCAAAATCCGAATATGATTCATATTCTGTCCGTGCAAATTCATATTTGCCTTGAGTCTAGAAGAAGAAAAAAAGAATTTGTTATAAGTTCATATGACTTGTATCGGTCCAATACAAAGTAGCAGCTATCCACTGAACTCTTACCATGGGCTGGAGACTAGATGAGCTACTTTGGACACAGGAAAAAAACAAGGTCAACTTGTGTCCCTTCCCACAGGGTTCCTCATCCAATAGGAAAGACAGACCTATCCAATATGATGATTTGAAACTCGAAGGTTGGTTCTAGGATTCTAGTGCAGTTGCGTCGAAAGATACAAGAGCGAGGGGAAGAAAGAATGTGTCAATCAAAATGTTAAGGCTTTTGAATTACTTGCTTGGAAATCTGGGCTTAATTCCAAGAAGAACCAACTGAGGAGGTAGTTGAGCCTCAGGAAGATCATTTTGGCTCAGCATGGGGATCGAATTGCAAGGGATGAATGTGGACTTGGAGAGACCAGCCAATGAGGAGGCTGTCTGAACAGTACAGGTGCAGTTGATTAGGGTCTGGTCAAAGGCCATGGCTGGGGCGTGGGGAGGAGAGGATGATGTGACAAGGCAGGAACAAGCCTTAGAGAGAACTCGGGAGATCAGTTTGCTCGAAACTCAGTTCATCATCCCTTGTATAGGGAAACTGCCATAAGTACTGCTTTGATGACCCTGACGTGGCCAGTCTCAGGTCACCTCAGCCTCATAAAGGGGCACAACACCTCAGCTCCCAGGGAGGGAAGCAGAAGTGATTTGGACATGGTCTCAGCCACAGCTGCTGAGGTGTGCTGTATCACTGTCCTTTTCTAGTTGGGTGACTTCGGACAATCAACCTGAGTCACCTCCCAAAGGCCCAGTTTCCCTGTGTGTAAAATGAAGAGGATAATTGTCCCTCCCATCAGGTTTGATGAATTGAACTCAGACAGGTACAGCATGTCCCTGTGCCTAGCACAGCATTTACAAAATGTTGGCTGTGGAGAGAGGAGACTGTGATGCACATGTCCCGCTGGGCTAGGATCTACTTTAGCTGGATGATGAAGAGCTGCTCTCAGGTCCTCCCTTGAAACAGATTGTGGAGGTGGCACTGGCCACTTTGACAGTGGGTGTCTTTGGCCATAGGCTATTTGCTTTTCTTTTCTTTTCTTTTCTTTTCTTTTCTTTTTTTTTCCTTTTTCGTCAATAAGTGTTGGAGAGTCATAGAGGAAGAGGGGAAAGGCGAGAAAGGTAGCAGAACATCTTTATGAATGTGCAATTTTATTATAGAAATAGAAATGAGTGTTAAGATCCTTTAGTACAGCCCCTTCCTTTTTCAGATGAGGAAACTGAGGTCCAGAGTGGACAGAAGCTTAGTCTAAGGTAAAACCAGGGTCAGTGGTAGAGCCAGGACTCGAACACAGGCGTCTTCCCATTTACTCTCAGGGGTATGCATGGTGCAATAGCACAGTCTATTCTGGCCCTTGCCCTCTGTGAGATCCACTTCCAATGTTGTGCACTAATTGTAATATAGGCCTCCACAGATACAGCATTTTATAACCTCAAGTGCTTAGAACAGCGTCTCCTCAGTAGCAAAGCCTTGGTGATAATGACAACAGCAGGAGTTTGCATGTCCTAAGGACTCACCAATAAACCAAGAACTGGGCTCAGTGTCTGCACGCAAGGTCTCACTCATCTCCTTCCTGTAGGATGGAACCTTTTAAACTCTCAATTCACAGAGAGGAAAATGGAAGCTCAGGGCATTTAGGATTACGGATTATGAGTAGCAGGGCCACCACATCTGTGTGACTCCACATGTGACTCGCACAGTAAGCGCATGGTAGATTTTTGTACTGTTGTGTGATAGTACTGCCATTACAAGTACTACCCCTGCTGCATACAGAACGGCATCTTCACCACAGCATGAGGAAGGGACTACCCATCTTATGTGAGAAGAAACCAAAGTTCAAAGAAACAAGTGATGTAGTCAAGGTCACACAGATAGCAGGCAGTAGGGCCAGGGCTTGGATCCACACCAGCTGGGTCCTGGCCTAGGGCTCCCTCCCCTACTCAGCAGTGGCCAGCTGGCTGTCACTTACCTGTGGGGTATAGCTTTCCACATTGTATGGCTTCCTAAACCTTGTGTTCAGGATGTAATGGGAGGAGCATCCACCAGCATAATACCTGTGATCGAGAACCGGGCCCTCCAAGTTGTTTGTGAACAAATTTATCCTGTAAGGCAGGCACAAAGAGGGCATGAAGAGGTTAGCCTTTCAGGTTGTGCAATCTCAACTGGCAGATCCTACTGAGTAAAACCAGGACATTTTGGCACAACGTTCAAGGCCCCCTGGATAAGCTGGCCTATACCAGCTTTCTAGCTTCATCTTGGCCACCCCCAACCATGCTGCATACCCTGGGTCCCAGCCAATTGCTTTTTATCTCCAGCCTGCTCTGTTCCTCTTATAGTAAATGCTGTTCCCTAGGCCTAGAATGCCCCCAGCCATTTACTGTCTTATCTATTTGGCTCAAGGTTGAGCTCTGTCATCACCTGTTGTGGGAAGGCTTCACTGACATTTATTGTTTGCTTTTTAGGTTGCTACGGTACACATACACTCACAGGAGAGAAGCAGAGATAGACAGGGAAGGTGAGAAAGCACCCCCAGGGAGGGTGACCATGCCGCAGTCTCTCCTCCATTCTCCTTGGGATTTGGGGTACACGTGCATACAAACTCGGACTACTTTGGGGTTTTGCTTTTTAAAATTTTTTTTACAAGTCTCTGGGTCTGAGACTCAGACCACTTAGGTGGCCATGTGGAGTACAACCTCCTTAGCCACCACCCCACCAGCTGGCACTATTCGTTGTACCAGAAACCTCGACCTAAGCTAGGTTAGAGGTCCCCATAATACCCCAAACTGTCACAAGTTTGCTTACAAAAGTAGCATAAGTGTAACAGATAAGAGCATGGGCTTTGGTGCCAGAGGCCTGAGACTAAATCCCTACCCTGTCACTTACTAGCTATGCACTTTTGGGCCAACAGGTAGCCTCTCTATGCCTCAGTCTCCTCATGTATAAAAATAGGAACAATGAAAATACCTGCCTTGGGACCAGCAGTTAGTGTAATGGCTATGTAGTTGGACTCCCATGTAGTCGACTGTGGTTCGCATCCTGGACCCAGTGGCTTAAACTCATGCTGGGCGCATGTGCATGCATGCCCAAGATCCCAAGAGGAAAATGGAGGAGAAGGGATTGCGGCGTGGCCATGCCCCCTGGGGGGTGATTTCTCGCTTTCTGTCTCTCTGTCTGTCTCTGTCTTTCTGGCGAGCGCACGCGCCCTATA